GGATTTCAAAACACTCAGTGCTTGGAGGGAATCTGCACCAATATACAGTTTCATGAACATTATGAAAGTCTGTTTAACTGTCCAATGGTAAGTCTGTAAAGATTTCATTATCTTTCCACACTTTGTCTCATTTTTTCCCGCCTCCTCTTCTTGCCTTTTATGGGACGCTGCTGGTTGTATGTGTGTGCATGTCCATGCGGGTGTGTTTGTAGGTGTGTTTTGTAGGTGACCGATCAGTTTTACTGCAGGACCTGAGTGGGTAGTTACTACTACATGTAGCATTTAGACAAAATGCAATGAAGTGTAATATTACAAATTCATGAAGGAAGTCAATGAAGTATCTCATAAATCAAACAGTTGTAGAGCTGAAACAATTAATCAGTTAATCATTTGAATAATAACTTTTTTTCTGCTTCTAGCTTCTTATCTAAATCTGAGAATTTGCTTTGTTTTGTCTCATACAATAAGTAAACTAAATATCTTTAGAGGTTTTGGACTGTTGGTCGGACAAAGCAATTCATTTGAAGATATCATATTGGGTGATGATTTTTCACTATTTTCAGACATTTTAGACACAATTAATTTATTTTATTTACAATTATAAATGATTAATAGAGAAAATAGTTGACAGAATTATTAATAATGAAAGTAATTGTTAGTTACAGCCCTGGTTGTTTCTGTGCCTGTAATTTCAAAATGTCTAAATCCATTTCGCACAGAAATTATAGTTAAAGCTTGTTCGTTCAAAGTGAAAAAATAAACTTATATATGAACTACAGAGTTGTCAAAAAAAGTCTGTTCCTGTTACCAGTCTCTCGATCTCCTTAAAATGTATATTTTAATAATTGCGATGAGAATGAAGAAGAATGATTGTATAGCGCCTTTCAAGTTGTCCAACACTCGAAGCGCTCTACACTACACATCGCATTCACCCCATTTACATGACTTCATACATTGATGGAAGAGGCTACAGTGCAAGGTGCCAGCTTCTACATTCACAGGAGCAATTCAGGGTTCGGTATCTTGCCAAAGGACACTTTGACATGTGGGGTGGGCGAAGGTGGGGATTGAACCGCAGTTGCCCCCACAAACATGGTAGATTTGAAAAAGTACAAAAAACACTATATGCTTAGCCATAACGTGGGCATAGGGGACTGCATATGAGTGAAACAGAGTGCGTACAGGTTCATGTGCAAAATTTTCTTTCTGTGCAGCAGGGTTGGAGGTGATAGTAAGCGGTAACCCCACAGTGATGTGTGAGGGTATTAGTTCCTCCCCTCACTCATCGCCTCTTGTTCTCCCTTTGTCTTTGTCTTGGGAAATGGAATCTGCAGCTTATTGATATTAATAGCGCAGAGGGTCTGTGGTCGGAGAGGAGCTGGGACCTGGGAGAGAGTGGAAACCTGATATGGATGGGTAGAATTGACAGTCCTCCTACTTGACAGGGTGGAAAGGGGTTGGTTTTAAAAATAGGATTTCAAAATGGTGAATGTACTGTTGTGTGATGTACTGTATGTGCGTGATCAGAGTGGAACTTTTTGACTGCGCCGATCTAATTTCACGTGTTAAGTGTGAGACTTTTTTCAGCTGTGTGGATCCTGAGCTGCCCCAGCTGTGACTTGTCAGCAGACAAAATAATTTACAAAGAGCTGTTTTCTCGTGGTTACACTCATGGATCTTAGACTTCCTCATATCCACTTGATATGGCTTTTTGTATTCAATGAGTACATTTAAATAGTGTAAAGAAATATGTGGTCTTGTTTGTTTTGGGCTAGGAGTGAAATTCCACTTCCTTGGTATTAAGGCAGCAAAGCTCTCTGTGTGCACTATGTGTACTTTGTTCTTAGCTCAGCAAAATGTGAGGGCAGGTCCAAAGAATCTGGGGGATCAGACAGGCCTGACATTCACCAGACTGCACTGTTGCCTCTTAAGCTTAGAAAAAAAAATATCTGAAAAAAAGCATCCAGAATAAGGGCTGGCTGGATTGAAGCTGGGTTTAATTGGTGGGTTTTGAGTCTGTTTGCGTGTCAGAAAGTGCTGTTGTTTACAGTCTGTGTGGGTGTTACAATATAATGCCAGGATCCTGCCAATCACATCAAAAAGGGGGAAAAAAACAATGCTTGTTTTTCACTATTTCTAATGCTGACTTTTTTGTCTTTACGAGACCTAGCCATGTTTTTCATTTAATCAGTCCCTCTTAATAAAAGCCCAGAAGACTAGAGGGAGAAAATAGTGTGCAGTCAGCCCTTTTAGCAGATCAAATCATACAGTAAACAGCTGCATTTGTTGAGAAGTGAGTCATGCTTTAGATTTTCCTGTGTTTCAGAGCACAGACAGTGACTTGGAAAATCTCCTGCACACACCCTAAAAACAAACACCAATGACTGTATATAGATATCACTGGCTCTACACAACTAAAACTATCCTACGCCCTCTTCTTATTTATACAATGCTCTTAATACAGATTCACCAGCCTTGAGGAGTGTTAACCAGTGCCACTACTTTTTTTGGTTTAGTCCCACACACACCGTTAGGCCCTGGCATGCTAAATAGGCACTGTAGATTTATTCAGATGCTGATACTAAGTGATCGAAACATCGCGGATGGGCTGTAAAGAACTCTGGCAGCCTCCTATTGACAACCATTGAGTTGAGCATTAATTAATATGGTAATGATGTGTGAAGGTTCATTAACGAGCCGCCACAGAAGTAGCCACAGATACAGTATTAAGCGTGCTTAGAGTAATTAATGGAATAACTTTACTTAGTGCTAAATATTCATGGGCCCTCATCTTTTTGTCTGCACAGTGTGAAGAGAGAGGAGAGCCTGTCCATTAGAGGAGCTGAAGAGCTGTCCACAGTGAATGCGGGCCTTTTGTTGGGATTGGGTGCGTTTCAGTGGAGAGGTATTAATTCATATTTTGAACATGCAATCTTACAACAAAGCCAAAGGCACTGATAACATACCTGGGACTAGAGAGCATATTGTGAAGCCGTGACCCCCTCACAAATAGGGAAGTCCACTTCACAGGTTTGTGGACAGAATAAAATGAGTCTTTGTTCGTGCTCAGATGTAACCACAGCAGTTCATTACCATAGCGAAAAACCCTTCTGAGTCTCCATTTCCTCTGAAAATAGGCTGTTTGCATGTTTTTTACTCCACAGTTACAATGAAGCCTGTGATATTTGCATAGAGAATGGAAACATTTATTTGGATCATCTGATCCTCTAAAGGTATCAGGCTAACGGTCATGCTATCTTTTACACACAAGAGTCTTGTAACTACTATGAGATTTCTTTGTCAAAAGTCTTTGTTGTCCTATTTTCCACTTTGTTTAACACAGTGCACCTACAAGATCCTCTCAAGACTTTACACGAGAACCTTGCAAAATGCTCCTTAGTCTCCTTTGTCTTTTGAAATTGTTGCATTTTGATTCATATTCTTAGTTTAAGCCTCTTACTGAGCATGCACATAACCCACCTAGGTGGGTAATTATCTCAACCAGGAGTTGTTCTATTCCCTAAAATCTCAATGTGGGAGTGTGTGATGGGCTCGGTTTTCCCAACCGGGTGAAGCAGCGTGTGCTTGTTTATCCTCACCCTATGTTCTCCGCACCCCCACTGTTCTAAATGGCAATATTACAGCCTTGTGCTGTTTGAAATGGAGACAATTATCTGTTTAGGCATTACAAGATGGGCATTATATTACAAGGAGAAAAGGCGTACAGCTGCTATCAGGATCCTGTTGTTGCCTTTTCTTTCCAATACAAATGTTCCATCATTAAAATGATGGAACATTTATCTAAATGGATGTTATGCATTGGGTAAACTCATTTAGCTCCTGGGGCTCTTTCAGGTGATGGGAATTAATGATGTTTAGTAGTTTGAAACTGAAAATATCTGTCATTTGTCACCGCTCGCCATTGATTTACGATTCCATTGATGATATGTTAATTGAAGTGTAATGAATCACAATAATAGGCTAGTTGTGTGGGAATGGTCCATTTTTCGATGATTGTTCAACCCTCAGTAGAGTTCACAGCGAGCTGCATGTTGACTCGCGTTTTCAACAAGGGCATTTAACACATAATTAATGCTGTAACTGGGCAAGTTGGACCGGTGTGTTTTATCTATGCTCAGTCTGCTTTAGATAAACACTTGCACAAACGCCTGGCCACAGTTTTGACTGCCAAATGTAAACGGCAAAAAAGAACAGTGGGAGAGGGAGTTGGAGCTTTTTTTTTTTCTCCTTTCGTATTTGGATATGCTTTAATGCTTTTATTCAAATGCACCTGAGATATTGGTCCCACAGTCACTTCTCAGTTTACCATAAAAATAAGATTTTGTTTCCTTCTCTCCCTTTTTTTCCTTCTTTCCTTGCCTGGGTTGAGTGCTCAGTTAGGAAAGCTGTGTGCATGCAGATCAGGGCTACCCAGGGGGAGTTGAGTCAGGGCAGAGCAGGTACAGGTACACTGTGTTCATCACTGGGGGGGCGCAAGTGCCTCTACTGTTAGCAATATAAAAAAGTTTTTGTCTTGCAAATAAACCATTCACTCACAGCAGACAGCCCCATTGTTCATTTGTTATCATCAGTGGGTGTAGTTGTAGTTAACAGACAGATAGAAATGCAAGGATGTGTCCGACGGTGGCAAAGGCAGGACGAAAAACGAAAGTTGCCTTCTGCCCTGCTTCGAGCTGAAATGGTGGCTTCATGTCCATAGCAGCAAAGCGAGGCATGCTGACTCATACAGCGTCATACAAACACAGGAAAGCAAACAGCAAAGGGATGCAGAGAATTGATTTCTTTCTGATGATTTCTCCGAACACGTATAGGTTTGTGCACGTTATCAATTCTAAAAATTCTAATAGAAACTGTTGGGCATTTAGTTTACACCCATGTACTCTTTCTTTAAATTGTTGTATGGGTGCTGATGACAAGCGTTGTGGGCTGCAATGTAATTATTTCATAACTATAAATAATTCTCTATCTTGTGTCTGCAGGGCGAGGAGGCTGTTTCACCACCGCTGGAACTGAAGATTGCTTTAAATAAGCAAGTCCTTGTAGAAGGTAAACACACAATCATTCACCAGACTCAAGTCCCTGCATGTGCATGAACGCTGTATTGAATTGGCTGAATAATTAACAGAATGCAGTGTGGTTGTCTTGTTTGTGTACTGTATTTTGAGTGTGTATGTGCGGGGCAAGAGGATGGGAGACTCGGTGGGGGCTCAACAGGTCGGTGGGGGCTCAACAGGTGCACTCTTGTCAGTGGTTTAAGAAGCTGCATGGCGAGTAATAAAGGGAAATTTCCCCCGAAAGTCCAAATTGAGTTAGTAAGAAGTTGGTTGTGTGATAACTTTTTGTAAGGTAGTTTACCATTGTACAATTGAAGAACTTTTTGGACATGAGGAAATGACGCTCCTTAGTGTGGAGGTATTTATCTGTGTCCACATGTTGACATTTGTCAGGAAAAGCTGAAATATGGTAAATATGGTAATGCCATGTTTACCAAACAAGCGGGGGGAGGTTTACCGCACACAGTCTGGTTACCGTTGGCATCTCAGCCATTCTGGTGGATATCTCGTGTTTGCTTCTCACACCCGTCTTCCTATCTTAGAAGGTTTGGGGCCCCCAGGATGTAAACTTTTGGCTGGAGTGATCCGGTGAGGCAGAGTAGGACTGTGGGGAGTTTTGTGTGTGTGTGTGTGTGTTCAGGAGCTCAGGGCTTCAAAGGAGGAGTGTGTCTGTTTTCTGTCTCATACAGCTTCAGCCTCACCGTCATCTCTTTCTCTCATTCCCTGTTTTGTCTATCTTTATCATTTCCTCTCTGTCTCTCACCCATTCTCTCCCTCCATCAACTTGTTGTGACTTGTAGGTAGAAAGGTAGGACATGTGCCAAATAACGACTACACATGTGAGCAGTGCTTTTCTTTCATTTGAGGCTACTACAGAACCAGTGAGATGTAACTTGGGTGCAACCAGTATTCATTTTTGGGATTGCAATTAGTGATTTAGTAAATGTTATAATTATTGTACAACAATATACCCTGCCCATGGAGGCATATTCTAACATATAAATGAGTAAAATCAGAAATGATAGCACAGTTTCTGTATTTTAATACAATTATTTTCATGTCCTTATTTCCATAAAAATATATGCAAATAGCTGATATTTTGTTCTCATGTTAACTTTAAACAAAATGCTAAATTTGTTGTTCTTGCCACAAAAAAAAATAGTAAAACTGTACAAGTGGTAAAGTGTTTTGCCTAGAATGTATTTCTTTAAACAGCATTTTACAAAAGGTGAATCCTACAGCTCTCAGTTTACCCCAGAAGGGATCCCCAAAGACAAGTATTAGTATTGCAACTGTACAATAAAAATGTAATAAATCCAATTACGTCCTAGAAAGAAGGGTTGATGGCACTTTCTGCCAATGACAATTTTGGATCATTAACCAAAAGCCATTACTGATACATCTTAAATATTAACTGCTGCAGCTTCTCCATAGAGTTTGGAAATGTAGCTGTAACAGCTAGCAATGGTTGTAGGATTTCAGCAAGACTAGTTATATTTTTCTTTATTGTAAGGTTCTCATCACCACAATCTGTTAAACAGCCTTTACTCAGACAACCACCCCCACATTTGGAAAACATCAGAAAATGGAAGTGGATTCATGTTGCTGCTGTTTATCTGGAGAGAATTCTCCGCATATTCAGGTCCACTCCAGCAGGCCATCAGCTGCCTGCTCCAAGATGTAAGATCAGCCCTGAAATCTTTCAAATGGTTGTGTAATTAATGTTAATGTGGCAAAATCAGCCTAATTATTGACACAGCTTTCCAATGTGATTTTGATTGCATCACTAATGCTGAAATCCCTGTGGCAGCTTATGGGATTACTATGTCTTGGTGTTTAAAGCTCTTTCAAAGTGCAATAGACTCTGATACGTTGTATGTGTTTGTATTGTGTTCACTTTTGTCTAAATTTGGACCAACCATACGTTTTAGAGTATTTATGGTTAGGGTAATTGTTGTAAAGGAAAAGCCTTAAAGCAGTCTGACAAAAGTTTTGATTTGATTATGTGTGGAATACATATCATCATATAGGCATATCTATGTGATAGGGCTGCGTCTGATGTGTGCTTTGTGCAGGCCTGCTTGTTTAGACAATTTATTCAGACCTGATGACATCCAATTTTCTAGAAAAGGGCCTCTGCTTAGAACAATCCTCAGATACCCGAAACACATTGCTCTGTTTTGAGAGCTTCAGAAAGTTATTGTCTCATGCCGGACATTTGAATTTTATGAATCCATGTAAGCTAGAGAAGAACACATCATGCAAACACTCGGCTTCTTCTAATTCTTGCTTTGCTGTAAATGCTTTGGTTTATGTTGCCTTGTTGAGGTTGTTTTGTTAATCCACTTTTTATGGAATTGTTATGAATAAACAAGCGGATTCGTGATTTGGACCCGCAGAAAGGTCGTGTGCAGATTTATGCTGGGATGAAAATAGGGTCTCTGTAATAGTTCCCTTGACTGCATTTATTGCTTACTTTAAAAAAGTAATTTCTTTATATCAGCATCAAGCTGAAAATTGCCATGTATTAGTATTAGGCTTGGTAAGCTTCTAATTCTGTGGCATTTACAGCCGGCTGTGTTTCCATGCATTTATAACACTTTGATTCTTAAGAGCTCCTTTAATCGCTTATGCCTAGCTTGGAACATAATAAACAACTCGCTGTAGCAAAAGTGCCACATGGGGGAGATTTCTAGCAAGAAAGTTAAACGCTTCTGTCACTGGCAGTTTTGTTGCTGTGTTTTTCATGCACTGTAAGTACCATAATCTACTCTCTGAGCTTGGTTGCTGTAGTTAAAAACAGTGACAGGCAGAATAGATGCAAGGCAGCGTGAAAATGAAAAATTATCGTCCCTACAAAGACGTCACAATGGAGACCAAGGCAGAGACATAAAGCGACAGCGCTCTCCTGCCTTTTCCTGTTGATTGAGATCACAGGATGTGTCAAAGCTTTCTAAACACCCTCACCTGGCCACCGTCTGCTTTCCCTATCTGATGCTCTGCTCCCATGGCCGCATCAGCTGCTATCAGAACACACTCTGGCAGATTGCCTGCTTCTGTATTGTCTGGCTAAACAGGTTGCACAGTTAGATGCATGCCTTATGCTGAATATATTATGTCACACAATAGAGCAACATTCTTATTTTCTCTTGCATCTCCTACAACCTTCATGTGAGTTATCGTCCGCTGTGAGGTAGAAAGAATTGGCACTGATAATGTTACCACAGATGTGTTATCTTGAAGCTACTTAAAATACCTTTTGGGGGAAAACGCGTTTGGCAAGTTTCAATTTCTTTTTCTATCAACATCAAACAGACATGTCTTCTTTTGGTCTGATATTGACAGATGTATAAACTCTGGTCTGCTAGGAGAGTGAGGAGCTTTGATAGTGTCAGCCTGCTACCAGGTGCAGGCGGCTAACGTGACACAGTCTTTGTGTGAGATTGACTGAGGCGACAGAAGTAAGCAAATTCCATCCGCAGATGAGTTGTCTTACAGCAAGATGAAAAGAAAATCACAAAAGTGAGAATAGGTGTCAAAGCTCTCCTTTTTAGCTTTGGCCTTGTGTCTCTGCCTCAGAAAAGATGAAATAGAACTTGGATTGATTGTTGTCTTCTGAGCAAAATGAATACAGTTGTTTTTTTGTTGTAACCTAGGCCAGCGTCTGCCAGACTGCAAACCTATGTACTATAACTAGTGTAATATCAAATGTAACTTAATATATGTACACACTGTCCCTGCATCCAAAACAATATTATACATTTATATATTATGACACATTAAAAGGACACTTGTTTATGGTTTGTAGTCCGACTTGAGAAAGTCTCTGACTATGTAAGGAAATTCCAAAAAGTTCCTACAAGGCACAGTGATTCATATTTGGATAGTTTTGACTTTGTTGCAATCACTTCATGTCATGGTAAATATCACTTTGGCAGTCCTTTGCGTTCTCCGTTTATTTTAGAAAACAAATCCCTTTTAGGGATAAAGCACCTGGTGGTGCTTCTTAATGGAATGGCTTCAGCACTACGCAAATAAACAGCTTGCATTTTTGGTGTGAGATTAGGAACTGGGCTGAGAGTGAGAGAGAGAGCTGGAGTGAGGTGGGTAAAAACCAAACAAAGAAAGTCATCACCACATGTGGAGGGGACAGAAGCCGAGCAGTCAACTCCTACTACTACTCCTACTATAGTTGACTGTATGTTTTGAATGTCTATGGAAATACATGTCAACATTGGCATTTTGTGAGCTTTAAACCTGGGTATGGCTTTCTTTTTTTTTTTTCAGTGTCATTCTGAAGTGAAGCTTGTTGTTTTAAAATAGTTGATCATAGAGTCAGCAGTAGGCCATTATTCAAAAGGACTGGAAAGGAAGTACGTCTATCTGAGTCAACACGCAGTTTGTTTGCTTGCAGTTTTTTCTTAACTTGGAAAAGATAATGTTGTAACCAGAGTCAAAGAAAAGGGAGTGAACATGGAGGCGAACAAGTGACCAGTGAAACATAAAGCAGAATCAGGGCTACATTTCTTTTAATCTTGGTTCTTTTAATTTAAATTAGTGAGACCAGGCAAATAGTATCTCAGTTATTTAATTCATCCATGAGTTTGCCCACTGCTCTTATTCACATGATATATTGTTAACAATAGTGTTCCCACTCATTCCCTTGCTGTATTGTCTGGATAATTTAAAAATAGTTTTAACTATTTTTCAGAATTAAAGATCCTGTATACTAAATCCTGTATATGAAAATTATATCCACACTCAAGCTCATTACCGGTTGAGTATTAACTAAAATGTTTACGGCTAAACTACCTGGTAAACTACCTCACACTAGCCAGCTAGGCTGGCGCTAAGCAGTCACAATTGCTCTCTTTCTATTTTTTCTGTCTTGGGTGTTTTCCTCCTGGCATTTTGTTCTCTTTTTATCTTGTTCTCATTTTATCCAATAAAGAGCATTTGAAGGAGGATAAAAGCTCTCTAAGCTAACCATCT